CATTTTCCTGTTAGTACCTTAGTTATAGAATTCTACTTTAACAAGCACTTATTGATCTACTATATTTTCAACATTGTTAGCAGCTAAGCATATGATGTATTTCTATAGCTCACGCTTTCTAGGAACCTATGATTTAGTGGGAGAGATGGGCATGTAAGAAGAAAACAATAATACAGTAGGATTAAGGGCAGTAAAAGAGCCTATGCTTTTGAGTGAAGATATGAGTGTACAATGATCAAGAAATGTTCCTTAGTTACAAGTTCTGAATGCTGGATTAGGAACCATGAATTGTAGTTTGCCAGAGGTGTGTGTGTGTCTAGGAGGGAAGTTAAGAACAAGCCATGTTCAAATTCAAGGACTTCATGGAGAGAGGCTGCAGATGTTCAGTGGCTGGCTCACGAAGGACTTGCTCATTGCATCAGCTGCTAGAACTGTAGCCCCCAGACTGGTGAGTCTCAACTGTTGGCAAGATCAGAGCATGTGGAGGGCTTTTCAAAACAAAGAGTTTCTAAGGCTGCAGGCCTAAAGCGGAGCCTGGAAACATGTTTTCCAATAAGGTTCCAAGGCTGAAGTCACTTCTGGTCTGGGAATCATTGAAGCCATTATTTTAGGCAATAGGAATTCTAAGAAGGACTGTGAGCAGGAAACAGACATGATCAAATCTGTATCTTAAACAAGTCATTTGGGGCTATTAGAGGATAGTCTGAATGAGAAAAGAGAACAAGTAACTATAAAAGAACTTTTCTAATAAATGAGGACAGAAAGACTGGTGGCCTTAAGAACAGATGACTTCACATTTTGATAGATTACTGACAGGGTAAAAGACATTCCATACTGTGACTTTTAAAATACTAAAGACACTTAAAAACTAAAGAATTAGAATATCTGAATTATGTTTCATCTAGTTATATAAAATAGCTGATATAATTTTAATAATAATGATATAATGATATATATATATATATATATATATATATATATATTTACAAAGTCAGCAAACTATAGGTTTTACATACCTTGGTTTGTGGTAAATTCACTGTCTCTGGCTTTTACAGATCTGACAAAATCAGCAGCAACTATCATTGGTGTGTAACACAGATCACAAGAATATTTTCTTACTAATGTTCTAAAAGCCAACCTGTGAGCATAGAAAACTTCAATCATGAATTTAGAAGATACTTGAAGCATACACATTTGCAAGTTCAATTTAGTTATTTATTAAGTATTTATTAGAGGAACTTTTGCTTAGATGAAAGAGATGTACTTTCACTTAGTCTACCTGCTTAAGTATGAGTAAAATTCTTCGCACTTATGTCTTTGAGACAGGGCTTTACTATATAGCTCAGGCTGGCCTGGAACTCACAGAGATCTGCTTGGCTCTTGCCTCCTAAAGCCTAGAACTGAAGGCCACCACACCAAGCTAAAACCTCAATACCATTTATAAAACCATTATAGAAAAACCCCAAAAGAGAGAGGAAGGGAATGCTAGTGGCCTTGCTTTCCAAGAGACTAAAGCATCACAAGTTCCATGAATTTTTCTCTTTGCTTTAAATACCCCAGACTTGGAGCTGAAGTAGTGACCATCTGGACTCTGCAGTGAAAGAAGACAAAAAGGGCTCCACATAAATCTCCTTTATAAAGGATCAGAAAAAGAGAAGCCGCAAAAGACTGAAAACTTAAAAAATAATAATCAGTACTATACAAAAATCTATGGACTCAACTCTGTTAGAAAATGCTGGGCATGGAGTCATTTTCACTCTTTTAAGGTGCCCTAACATCTCATGGTTGATAGTGTTCAATTTGGCCTGGGAGGTATGTAGAGCTTTTGTTCCTAATGGCTCCACTGCTATTGGTGGAGATCACGTGTAGAGTGTACACATCCATGTGTATGTCAATACATGTGACAAGCCACCTTTTCCTTCCTTGCTGGATGTGTTGTAAAAGGACGCCTAATGGGAAGCCAGGACTTCAGTACTACCCTGCAGCTCATGAGGCTACTTGTACCAAAGTGAACCAGAACTCTCACCTCTGTCCACACTATCAAGGCACTCCTTATCGCTCAGACGTAAGAGGAAGGCATTTGAGAATCAAGATGTAATACTGATGGTGGTGAGGTGCTGCCTTTCTTTTCTCCCTGATGAAGCAGTGTCAGGGTAGCTGATTATATCAGAAGTTCCAATGTACAAAAACACAGTTAGTATAGTCTATTACATACTAAAGAACAGGCTAGTGAATGTAAAACTGATGGCTGTATCAAGTGATATAGAAATAGCATTAGACAAAACATCCTCATACAGTATTAAGAAAAAAGCCTCAGAAAAACAGAACTGTAGGGAGCCTCCTTCATTTGATGAAGACTTTTCATAAGAAATCATATGAGGGCTCAGTGGTGGCACACACCTTTAATCCTAGCACTAGAAAGGCAGAGGCGAGTGGCTCTCTGAGTTCAAGGAGAGCCTGTTTATAGTAAGTTCCAGGACAGCCAGGGCTACACAGAGAAACAAACCCTGTCTCAGGGGGTGGGGGGAGGGGAAGGAACAAAAGAAGGAAATGATATGACCCTCTTGTCCAGGACGGGAGCAGTGTCTTGGTTGTCTGCTCCCACCCCTTGTCAACACAGTGGGCACTTATAGCCAGCACAGTCAAGCATGAAAAAGTAAGCAAAGTCTTTGGATGAAATTGAAGAAATAAAATTGTTCATTTTTCTGTATGACTTGACCATTTATGCAATCCCCCAAAATTTATGAAATTCTATAGTTGGTAAGTGAGCTCAACAAGTTTGTAAGCTCAGTTTTAAAAAATACCAGTTTTATTTTTAAAAACTCTTAATGAACTTATATCTATAAAACTGAAACTACAGCAGTGTCAGTGGGATGGTTCAGTAGGTAAAACTGCTTGCTAAACAAGCCTGACAACTCGAATTAAATACCTAGAAGCGACATATAAGTTGATCTCTGACCTCCACATGAAAGAACAAAATAGGCAGCACATATGGTCCCCTGCCCTCCTTCCTTCACAGACAGACAGGCGTACACACCCAAAACATTTTTAATAGTTTACATCTAAAGCAAATTTACACAAATATAAATAATCTGCTTTAATATCATTAAGAAGACAAAAAGACAAGCTCCCTACTGGAAGGAAACATTTGCAAAGCACACAGGAGTAGTCTCTGGAATATGTAAAGAAACAAGTGAGCCTTAAAACCAATTCAGAATGGGTTGAGCATTTGAATAAACATTTCTATAATAGATATACCCAGTCAAGATGCAAAAAGATGTTCAATGTCACTAGTCATTACAGAATGCAAGTCCAACCACAAAGGATTCTACTTTACACCAATGGAATGGGTATAATGGTTAAAAAGAAGAATAAAATGACAAATATTGCCATTGTGTGCCACTGAGGAACAGGCAAAGGTGTAGCATTAATGGAAAACAGTGTGTTTCCTCTGAAAAGACAACACAGAATTAACATGTGTTAATGGATCCATTTGATTATATAGCTCAAAAGAATTGAAATGGTCTGAGATATTTAAACACCCACCGTTCATAGGAGCATTATTTGAAATTGCCAAAAGGTGAAAGCTTTCCAAATGTTTGCAAACCAATGAAAAGAGAAGCTAATGTAGTATGTACACCCAGTGGACTACCTAATCACTCTTAAACAAGAAAGGAAAGGCTGGCAGATGGATGACTCTTCAAATACCCATTCTCAAAATGCCAAGTGGAGTGAGCTGTTCTGAAAAAAACAAGTCTCAGCTACACAAGGCATCTAGTATAGTGAAATTATTAGAGAAAGGAAGCAAAATAATTACTTTATTAAGGATTAGTAGGGTTTGGAGTGTGAGGAATGAAGAATTATTGCTTAATGGGTCCAGAACTTCAGTTCTAAAGATGAGGCAATCAATGCTCAATAGACACATAACCCTGCACAGTTAAACAATGACTGAGTGAACAATCATGTTTGTTTATTGGTTTTGTCTTTTCTGGAGGAAAGTCTCAATACGTAGCCCTAGATGCACCTTCTCATGAAAACCTGCATGTGCACATTTACATCGATGTAATATTTACTGTATCCTAATTGCATTATCATTTTTACAGATATTGAGCTAGGGATGTAGTTTACTTGGTACAGTGCTTGCCTAACATTCATGAGGCTCTGGGTTTGATCCCAGCACTATTTAAAGTAGTCACAGTGGCCTTTTCGTATAATCCCAGCACTTGGGATATGAGGCAAAAGGATCAGGCCTTCAGACTCAGAGCAGGCCTGAGATACATAAGACTCTCTGGAAACAAACAAACAAACAAACAAACAAAAACTCAACATACCAGTTGAGTGTTAGCACCAGGATTCAATTCTAAACCATGATTCCAAAGGTAGGAGTTTAAAAAGCCTTTGCAGTCGAGTGACTATTATAATACTTTGAGGAGGCGGGATCCAAAAAACTAGTACATATAAGGAAAACTAAATATTGGCTCATTAATCATTTAACAATACTTACTTTGAATATCGAACCATTGGGGCACAGACTTTTACCAGCTGTCCAGAATGAAACATTTCTATTGGGTCTTTTTTTCTTTCTTGACACATTGTGGTTGGTCTGAAGTCACTCCTCATGTATACAGGTTGGTTTCAAATCTGAAAAAGACAGTTTGCAAGAAAAAAAAATAACTTATTTCCTTATTTGAAATCTCCTCATTGGGCATGTCACACAGCTCTACCGTATGGTAAGGTGCTTGCTTAGCATGTGACAGATGCTGGGTTTAATTCTCAGGATTAGAAAAACACACACAGAAAAACTACCAGTCTAGTAATTTCAGTTGCCAATGTTTTTCGTGAGGCTTGTATACTCAGAAATCATTCCAGTTTCTCTCTCCTTTATCAAGAGAAGAGGAACTTGCTAAATTCTGCCTCTACTTAAAGGATCAATAAATGTGGAAAACTGCATAGGGTAGTTTTACAGAAGTAAGAGTGTTTATCAAGTTATGGTTTTGCTTGTTACTTTTTTGCTTATATTGTCCAGGCTAGCCTGGAACTGATGGTTCTCTTGCCTCAGCCTCTGGGGTGCTGGGATACACTGGTGTGCCTCTATGCCCAACCTCATATTAGTTTTCTGTTACAAGCTTTTTACAAATTTCATGATAAACCAAGGAATCTGACTTGAATTACTTCCCATATAATATTTCATTCAGCAAATTTAGGTGGCATTAATAGAACATTTGTATTTCAAAATAAATCCTGGTATTTTGGGGCTGGAGAGACGGCTCAGTGTATAAGGGTATGTACTTTTCTTGCCGAGGACCTGAGTTTGTATGTCAGCTTGAAAGGGAGATCCTACACCCCTGGCCTCTGAGGGCACTTGTACTCACATGTGTACAACCATCTACACATATGCCACAAACATACACACACAAAAAAATCTTGATACTTTAATTCTAGTTTTCTTATGAATCAGAAGGCAGACAAAACTTTATTATTTTTTAAAAAATTAAAGTTATTACCAGTGAAGATTTTCAGTTATCACCAAGCAAGTGCACTGTAAATAACTTTTATGGGCCAAGGACAAGTGACAATTTTTCATGTTGTACTTGCTCTTGATTTCATAGTCTTTTTGTTTTTTATATTCTGATTTCAAATCTGTAATATATAGCTAGATAAAAACTAATCCTATAAAAGACTAATTATTCAAATTCAGCCTTTAACCTTTGGCAGTAAAATAAATGAATACAAGGCCAATATACTTAAGGATACCATAGCAGCTGGGCATGGTGGCACATGCCTGAAACCCCAGCATTCGGGAAGGCAGAGGTAGGGGGAGCTCTGTGAGTTGGAGCTAGTCTGGACTACCAAGTGAGTCCAGGACAAGCCTGGACAAGCACGGCTACACAGAGAAACTCTGTCTCAAAAAAAAAAAAAAAAAAAGGATACCATAACTTGCAAGAAATCATTGGAAGCACCAACTTTCAAGTAACAGAGGAAAGGGGAGTGGTACTAAGATGGTCTGTGGTACTAAGAGGAATAAACATGGAGTTTTAGTAAAACACTAAGGGAGAAGATTATTACAAAGACGGGAAGAATCTTAAACACTATAGAAATGGCATGTACCATGAGGTGGCGAGTGGCAATGTCATTACTGACTTTCTAAAGCGTGGTTTGGTTCTCACTCATTCTTGTGGTCAGAGTAAATGACAAAAAGCCTCCTTCAATAGTATTTGCTGAATCCAGAAGCTTTTAAGAATCAAGATGCTTACGCCACATCCAAGATTAAAGTGTCTCTTAGGGCTTATGGGATGAAAATATCAGTATTTTAAGTGCTCTAGAGCATGCAGCCATGTTTGAAAGGACCAGAATAATTCTGCTTAAACTGGGTAGCACCAGGCATATTATTTTGGTCAAATAGGCTTCTACACCTAGAATTTCTTTTACGGTATAAATGACTTGTTTGTAAACTCGTGCTGGTATGTACAGTGGGGGTTATTGCATGTCAATATGCAGACTAACATCTTTTAGTGTAAAAAATAAGAAAGCTAAGGAAAGAAATTTATCCTGCAATTCAGATGCTATTGGTCGTTGATGATTATTATATACAAACTAGTTCTGTATAATATGAATACTGAGATCTAACGTGAATCTAGGCTCCCTGCCTCTGGCAACCGATCAGTCCTGTTTGCATCATGCCTGGGGTCAAACACGTTAAAGGAAAATCTTCTGAGGCTATATTAATGGGATGCAAAACGCAGTGCAGTTCGAGGCTGGCTCACCTAAAAGTTGCGAATATTCACACGTTTGGATTTCTAAGGTACTTAAGGCAGAGCTTAGCAACTATTCTTCCCCAGCATATCCCGCCTGCTACCCGGGCTTGCCACTCTAGGCGTGGGACAGGTAAGGCTGAGCAGCCCTTAGCTCCCACGTGCCGGACGAGGAGGGCCGTGAAGCTCCTAGGAGCCTTTTTCCCCACGCCGGAGGCCGGCGTTCTCAGGCCCGATACTTGCGTTGGAGGTCGGCACTGTGGCTACGTTCCGAGAGGAATGGGAGAAGGCCCGGGCGGCGACCTTTGTTTCCTTAACCTCCAGCACCGAGGCACCCAGGTGCTGCCGAACTCGCCCGGGCCAGCCAGGCGGGGCGGCGCCTTGATTGTGCGTCATTCGGAGGGCGGGGCTACCTCAAGACGTCATCAACCCGGTACTTGCCAACATGGAAGGTGGAGATAGCGCGGTTTCCGTGGCAGGCCGTGCGGCTCCGGGTTCCGCAGCGGTGGCGGCGACCGTGCGGGAGCTCCTGCAGGACGGTAAGGCGTCGGACGGTGGCCGGGCCTGGGTCGCTCTGCCTTGCGCGGGGGCCGAGGACTCCGCCGGTCGCTTTGCACAAAGTTTCGGGTCTGGATGTGGCCACTCCCCTCCGCCCGGCCCCCTGGCGTCAGGGATTGTCCTGGTCTACGGATGTGTTCCTCTCTTTCCGTGGGTGTCTTGGGGACACCTAGGGCCCGGGTTTGAACTCGCTCCTGACGCGCCCAGGACGTCTCTCTAGTTCCGGGACCCTGCACGCGGTGGTCGGGGCTGACAGCCACTGCCCAGTGCCTGACCAAAGAGTGTAGTGTATTCTCCCAGAAGGGTGGACCTACTTAGGCGACGAACCGCCGCTTAAGGAAAGGGATGAGGGACGCGAAAAGTAGAAATGGAAACACCTGAGTTCAGTTCTTGGGGCCCTGCAGGTGCCTCTTACAGTGTATTTATCAAACGTATCGAATCCTGAAGTCAGGTTTGCTGGTAGTTTGGAGAGAAATTGTCCCAAGTAAGTTAACTATATAACTTCTATAACTACTGTAGTAAGCTTGAAAATCAAGTTGTTAACGAACAATTTGAGAGGCAGAACATAATTCAGATTGCGAAAGGTATTAGGCCTTTATCAGCAGTCCCCCTTTCTCCCCTAGTGGGCACCATATGCTATCATTTATTAAAATCATTTGCATTAATCACCTTAATTGCTTCCGAGGTGTTGAGTGCTCCCACCCCGCACACCCGTTTTTGAGTCAGGGTCTCCCCACTTAGCCCTGGTTGTCTGGAACTCACCTTGTTGATCAGCCTGGCCTCTTAACTCACAGAGATCCGCGTGCCTCTGCCTCCTTTGTGCTGGGATCAAAGGCGTAGGCTACCATGCGGGGTGTGTGGGGGGGGGGAAAAAACCTCGTTTTCTATTCCACAGAGTTAAAAGCAGTATTCTGCATACAGTAGGTACAGATTTTTTTTTAATTGAACACTCCTCTAAGAGTGGCTTATAAAGGATCAAATTAAACTTTAAATCACTGTTTCCCCTGGTTGCTGAATATTTTATATTGCCGTAATCGCTTGTGTTTTCATGATATATATTTTATCAAAACTAGTGATGTTTTCTGAACTAGGTTGTGGTGTAGCTTTAGTTAGAGTTCCTGCCTGATGTACCTTATCTTTGTGTCTTAATTGAAATTAAAATTTACCAAGTTCACAATCCTGAAATATACATATAGTTTCCACTCTCAAATACTATGCCATGTAGCTATAAGGGTGGCCCCTGTAATAGTTTTGGAAGAGTAGGGTATGGCTGTGCATACTGCCGAGGGTTACAGTTTCCGTAGGGAGTGTAAGCAAGCTTCCCCAGCTGTACCTAGTTTTGAAGTGGAGCTGGGACTGCCCCAGTTAAAATACCTTGATAACACATTCTGAACAGTGAGTCTAGGTTGCAGTAGGACACTGACTAACCACTTGTAGTTAGTTTTTGGACAGTAGTTAATATGCATCCTATATTTTTATACTTACAAAGCATTTTTTTTGGTCATCCTCCAACAGTGATTATTTAAACCTACTTTTACCCTTTAAGAACCCTTTTCTTCAAGCTCCTGGAATTTGTCAGATGTGAGCTGTATTTTTTAACAGCTGTCTAGCCCATGAGCTTCAACTGAACCTAAAAACATGCTTGCTTGCTTTTTCCTTCTGCCGTTTCAAATACAACAAAGTGAAGTCTCTACCTCTCTTAAGGACAGCCCTCGTTTTGTACTGTGCAGCTTATTCCTGTGTAGAACCCAGCACTCCGCGCTGTAATATTAAAGTCACTTCACTAACATCCTCAGTGGTTCCCAGGAGGCAAATCAGATTAACACTTGGTTCTATCTCATTTAAACTTGTAAAGGGCTTGGCTCCTTTCTTAAAGGAACTCGCCTTAAAAGGTGTAAGTGTCCTATCCTTTTTTTGTTTGTTTGTTGTGTTTTTTTTTTTTTTTTTTTGGTTTATTCAAGATAGGGTTTCTCTGTGTAGCCCTGGCTATCCTGGAACTCATTCTGTAGACCAGGCTGGCCTGGAACTCAGAGATCCACCTGTTTCTGCCTCTTAAGTGCAGGGATTAAAGGCTTGTGCCACCACTGCCCATCATTCGTTTGTTTGTTCGTTCGTTCATTCATTCATTCATTCATTCATTCAGTCAGTCTCGAATCGTAGATGCCTTTCTGCAGTTTCCCCAAGTGTACCTGAAAAATGGAGCATTTTGTTCAGTAACCGATTCACTGTGTTGAGGATTTACCTGAGGAGAGGATTGATAGGCTCTGTGAGCAGATGCATAGTTGGAAAATTTGTGAGCAATTTCTGATTTGCCTCAGAAATTATCGCAAAGGAGAATGATATTGTTATTTATTCTGGAATATCATGAAATAATCTAATAGACATACTCATCTTTTGTTTCATCTTTGGGAGATCATAGTTAAACCACTTCCTTTAAACTGTTATTTCTTTTGATTTAGTCATTCTGGTTTTTTTTTTATTTTTTTTATTTTTTTCCTCTAAGCACTCTTCAGTATTTTCTTTACCCAACTCCACAGGTTTTGGTGTCCACTGGGGTTTTAAACCCTATACTGTCCATTTCTGTTTTTTTTTTTTTGTGTTTTTAAATTCTAACATTTGTTTCTAAATCATCTAATCTCTGCTTTGGTCAGTTTGACACAAACTAGAGTAAGCTGGAAGTGAGAACCTCAATCAAGGAATTGCCTCCATCTCATTGACCTGTCTACCTGTGGAGTATCTCCTTCCTTTGTTTTTTTGTTTTGTTTGTTTCTTTCTTTCTCTCTCTATTCTTCCTTTCTTCCTTCTTTCTTCTTTTAACTTTTTTGTTGATTCTTTGTGAATTTCACATCATGCACCCCAATCCCACTCATTTCCTAGTTCCTTTATATCCTGTTGTGTGTTACACAGTATACCCTTTTGCCTGAACACCTTTATTTGGAGATGTCCATTGCAATGAGTCTTTGGTCTGTTTCTAGGCCTATGGCTTTGCCTACACTATCTATACTGGATCTTCACCAGGCCTCCTCTTGGATATCCTGTTGTTGCCTTGTGTAATGGAGGTTCTGCAGCTTTGGATCTACAGGACTGGCCACTTCACATGCTCCAACAGTTCATAGATGTTGGAGTGGGCCAACTCAAAGCCCTGGCTCTGGGCCTGTGACATAGTTGAGTCAGCCTGCCAGCTCTGCACCTACACCACCAGGGCGAGCTTTCTAGCACTGCCAGGCTAGCTCACCCAATGACACAATCTGCAAGGGGCAGGGCCAGCTCTCCTGCTATCCCTATCTCTGGGACTAGCTCAACAGTGCCCATGCCACTAGGCCAGCTCTACTGTGCTGGCCAGGTGAGGTGTTAGGGTCCGCTCTCCTGAGTGCTGCAGCCAGTGAGGGGTGGGGCCACCTCTGCTCAGTCCTGGTACATCAGTTGTTTCCAGGCAGCAGCCCAGACCAGGGATGTCCACATGCTTTGGTGGTAACATGGGCCATGGACATTGACACAGACCCCTGCTGTTACATGGCCATGGATCCAGACCTGGCTCTGAGAGGCAGCACAGGCAGGGACTTAACCATGGCCTCAGGTGGCAGCGCAGTCCACTCATATCAGGCTGTTCCTCAACTCCAGTTCTGCCTCTCTTCTGAGTGCTCAAACCCTTCAGCTTCTCTTTCTCGCTCATCTCTCCACCACATACTTGCACAACATAGAGGCTCCCAGGAATGGTGGGAGGAGGCAGATATGATGGAGGATGGGGCATGTGGTAGGTGGCCCTCTGCGTGTCTTGCCTCTGGGTCATGGGGCATTTTTTTAATTGCTGGTTGATGCAGGAGGGCTCAGCCCACTCTGGGTGTTGAGCATTAAAGAAAAAAAGCCAGGGTGAGCAAGTCATTAATGTTCCTCCGTTGTTTCTGTTTCAGTTCCTACACCAAGGTTCTTGTTTTAGGTTTCTATGAAGAGAAAAGATAAAATCTAAAATTGTCCAATTAAAGCAAGCTTTAATTAAATACAGGCCAGGATGATGGACTCTGGCCATGTCCATTCCAAGGTTTTCAGAAAATGACAATGAGTCACATAAAGGTACATATTTTCCATTAGGTTCAATCAGGGGCAAGCGTGTGCCCTGATGCTCTTCCTGCCTGCACCTCCTACCTACACCCAATCAGGGGCAAGCATAGGGGCTGATGCTCTTCCTGCCTATATATCGCCTGCCTACATAGGATCAAGCACATTGGTGCAGTTGGGTCAAACAAACTTGTTTAGGGGAGCTAAAACATGTGTCATAGGAAGTATCTGTCCTTGGGCAAGGGGCTTATAGAGGCATTTTTATTTTATGGATCTCTTCAGCACAGCAATGAAAATGTAAATTTTGCTCACACTACTTTTGCTTTTCTTGATGATAAACTGTAACCTGTAAACTAAAATAAACCCTTTCATCTACAGGGATCACTTTTTTTTTTTTTTTTTTTAAATCACAACAGAAAAGCAAACTAAGATAAATTCATCCTTTCTTCTCTTCTAAATTATAGAATTATAATTTTAGCTGCATACTGGAAATTGTACCTCAATAGTAAAGAACTGGAACAAGTAGTGCATCTTCTATAAAAACCTTAAACAAAGTAGATTTATTCCTATTCTTAAGTCTTTTTTTCTGATTGTCACTGTTGCTACTATGTTGGTCTTTTGTTAAATGAATGCTAATACTTTAGATAGGTTGTAAGGCTCTTGGAGGCAGGGGTTTGTTTCTCATCTTTGCATATTTCATGCTTAGGGCATCTAGCTTCAGGCAGAACTAAATTCCTTATGACAGATAAAG